GTACCAACTGTCCTGCAGACTTAGAAACCTTCCAAAGATTGTGGAACTTTTGTTTTCCTAAAGCCTCCTGACTTGGAGTGATAATGCAAACTACAAGGACTGCTCCAAAAGTAATGCCTCCTATTTTATTATGTTGACCCATGATGTCAGATGTGGGATGTTGTTTGTACCTTTCTGCCTGATTTACTTTCAAAAATTAAAAAAAAAAAATAAAATAAATCTAGTCTTGTGTAGATTGCCTCACGTCTGTTGTTTGGAAAGGAAATGTCACCCTTCCCAAGTATACTATGCACTCTATATTCTTTCAGACAACCCTTATCCCAAAGTCTCATTCTCCCTTGGAACAATTATTACTACACCCAGTCCTTCCAAGCTATCAACGCTGATCTTGAATATAGCTCTGGCCTCTGACATGCAGAAAAAAACAGTTAAACACTGTCTGCCTTCCCCTTTGACAAAATGTGCAAAATTCAACTTTGGCCAGAGGGATAGGACTATTGTTCAGTTGGTTCACTGGTTTCACATCTATGATAAAAATTGCAGCAGTTGGAACATGTTTTGTTCAGCATATACAGATAAAGTATTGCTGGTCACAGGAATAAGTAACTGAAATAGTGGTTGATAAGTGTATTAAGTCATTCTGTTGTTTCAATCGGACTGCATTTTAAAAAAAAAGTATACAAATCAAAATATATAGATCTATAAAATATACCAATTATTTATGTTTATGAGACTAGGAAGAGAGCAATTATAAAGAGCAGAAAACTTCAAATTAGACTCCATGACATCACTGTTACCAGTGATGCAAAACTAGTCTGCAAAACTAGCCCAGCAGTTTACAGAGTGGAATGGGGCAGTGTTATTGAATCTTAACAGCTCTGCAGGCTTTGTACATTACCTAGAAAAAAAGCAGTATTCAAGGATAATAGAAAAGAAGGTCTTAAAGAGGTTTCAATTTTTAATAGTTTAACTGGTCCAGAGGGAATAAGAAACTTTCCCACTCATTTTACAGCTGGAAAGCTGAGGCACAAAATTGTTTACTTGCCTAGGATTGCATACAAATATTGTATTAATACTAGTAAATAAATCCAGATAATCTTAGTCTAGATTCAGACCATTGGGCCACTTCTGTAATTTTTTTTTCTTAAATTCCTGATGGCATCAACAAATTGCTTCCAGTTAAGTGAAACATCAAGACCATTAAAGAGAGAAAAAATTGGGCAGATTTCAGTAACAAAGTAACCAAGCTTGTTTTCCCTTTGTTTTCAATTTGAAATTGCTTTTGGTGGAGCTGCATTTACAGATTCATAAACTTCAATTGATAAATGCCTAGATTGTCCATTTTAAGGACTTCTGTTTTAAGAACCTGGAAATCCACTATTTTACCCAGTAGATCTCTCTAGAAAATGACTTTATCTCTTTGAATGAGACTTTGATTAAATGATGTGTGATCTACTATCTTCCAGTAATGTGGAGTAATGTCAAGATTCAGCATGTGACTAACACCATGGTTCATTTTTCTAATATCTAAATTCTTTTAGCATCTTTGATTAATTTGTTAGAATATTGTCTTTCTTCTTTCATGCTTTATTTTTTCAGCTTTGCCTGAAAATAATTCTCTGCACTTAGGAGGCATTGAAAGATCATTTTAATTTGAACAACTCACTTTAAGTAAATATCTGAGAAGCCTGGTAATTCTAATTGCTAACCAAATTTATGGTCCTCATTATGTTTAGATCTGTATCTCTGTATAATCATTTAAATTTGGAACCATTTTGGAATTGTTAAAATAAAAAGCAGTTCAAAAATGCATTTTTTTTTCTTTTTCCATGCTTTTTATCCCAACATTTGAAATGTTTGAATCCTGAGTTTACAGTAATTGCCATCTGTTTCATTTTTGATGCAGCTCTAAATTTCAGTCAATATAAAAGTAGATTTTGTGTTCAATTTCCAAGGCATTGGAATTCCGCAGTAGAATTGCATAATGTAAATTAAACCCAAATTACATTTCTTTCCTTCAGAAAGTTCAATGTAAGTCCTACCAGTAGCTGATACACTTTCAACACCTTTCTCTACAGTGTAGATTTTATTTTTTTGGATTACAAATAGGAAGACTTTATCCTCTGACATACAGAGGTGTGGAAAAGAAATAATGCAACTTCAAATAAGCAGAAAATATGACTAATACCTCTGAGGAATAGTAGACTTCTGATGCAGTTCTAGCTCAATTTATTAGGTTTGAATCCTTTTCAGCATAGAAAATTGGACAGTTACACATTAAAGAAAGCAGCTTTAATGATAAGAATCAGTGAAACATTTGGATTATAATTGTAGTTGATTTAATTGTATAAAATTTGTTAGCAAGATGATCTCATTTACACAAATATAAAATATATCATTCATAAAGTTCTGTCAGGTTTCCATTGACCCAGGTACTTAGAATGTGTTAATTTACATCACCGAAACAACAGGGTGGAAAATGGGCAGCAGGTAGGATTTAGTTGTTTTTCATTAGCACTTGGACTTTGATAAAGGGGAACAGAAAAGAGCTGGTTGACCTTTTAGTACTTAAATTATTAAAGAGCAAATAGATTTGAGGTCTAGATGCTTGCAAATCTAATTTGTCTTGTGGAGTAAGGATGAAAAGACATCTTGAGTTTGAAATTGCTCCAGTCAACTTATCTCTTTCTTTAATGTTTCTGAAGATGAATAGATGGCAGGCATTTAAAATGTAATATACGCTGGAGTAGTGCACGCAGTATAACTAATATGAATTTGCAAGAAAAGGAGCATTTTAATGACAGATTTGTTTCTAAAATACCTACAATCTCTAGCTATAATCACTGAGTGAAAAATGAAAAGAATGCTCATTTCAACTGATAGTGAAACAAGTATTATTACCTAGCCTGGTCTGAGATCATTCTTATATTCAGTCCTGATGCAACAAAAAAGGAGACAGCTCTCCTCACAGCTGACAGCCAAATCCAAAATTTGATTTACTAGCCATGTTTTAGTGAGAACATGGAATTCTTATCTTTGCTGTGGTATTCAGCAGGTATGTCCAGTTTCATACCTTGCAAGAGCACACGTTTAAATCACTCTCTACTTTTTTTTCCCCTTAATACTCAATTTCAATTCTCAAACAGTATTTACTGTAGATTTACTGTAATTTCGTAGCTAGAGGAGTTAACAGTCTTTCTTCAAAGTAGCCTGGAATCAGTCTTCTGAGCTACTTTTTGTTCTAAAATTATGTCAGCTGTTGATTTGAATTGCAGACAGGCTGCTGTGTATTGACCTTCACTTACTACTTAGCATGGAATTAATCAACTAATGAAAATCTTTCTGCTAAAAAATGTAGACCTCATTTTCCAGGGAGTGTACCGACAGTGGTCTTCAAGTGGCCCCTCTATGGGTACTTGTTCGTCTCTGTTGCTGTACCGAATTTTACTTAAACATAGATTTCTGCGTAGGCTTCTTCAGATTGAAAAATCCAAAATTAGGTGTCCAGTTGCAGATTTTTAGATGTGTTATTGTAGTCAGTAAGAGCCCAGAAAGCAATTCAGTTGACCTGAAAGATCCCTCCTAGCTGGTCAGGTCTTTAAAATCTGCTACCTGTACTGACTTGCTCCCTGCTGACTTTAATGGGATTTTAGAGTTGTTTAGACATCATCAAAAAGGCACTTAAAGTGTCTTAACAGTAAGCATCTAATTCAGGCAGAAGAGGTAAGCCCTCTGTCATCTATACTGACCACAGTAGCCCAACCCAACCATCCTTGTGCTTTCAGCAGGCTTTTGTAAACACAAGGATCTATAGATGGTGGTGTGGGGACAACATGTCAGAAGACTGTGTGGCTGTCGCCTGTTAAAGAAATATACCCTGCACAGAGGTTGCTGCTTGTTATGAATTATCAACTTTAAATACTGTAGATTGTTATTAGATGTAGATGGCATACAGAAAAGTGGACACATTGTCTCTTTAAGATCTGTTACCCGTACTGACTTGCTTACTTGGATTCAAGATTTCAGAAGACAAATAATGATTAAAAATCACTGGTCTCCAGTGAAGCAATAAAGTTGCAAGCAAGTCCTCTTTAGAGACATGGATGTCCCACTGCACAAATCTGAAAGCACTGACTCAGACTTTTACAGCAACTGTGAGGGTATAATGATTTCACTGTTTGCATATACAGCAGAAATCACAGTTTCTTTATTTCTGCTTGTATGTCCACTGCACCTTTACAGTGGAGAGGAATGGGCTACTCCCTGTAGGTCCAGTACAGCAAAACATGCAACTATACCCTGAATTGCTCTGCAGAATGCAGAAATGCTTAAGAACAAGATTATACCTAAGATGTATTAAAAGTGCTTTGCTGAGCGAAAATAACATCCGTCAAAAAGTACTTCATCCTTGCTCAGTAACAGTTGATATACCATCAAAATTTTAAAAGACTGTAATTTGCTTAATGTGTGCTTTTATAAATAGTTACAATGTCAACAGTTAAGCAAATACTATTCCCTGTCTCTTTGTAATTTATTTCTTCATTTTTATCTAGCTACTCATTTAATTTCATTTAGGCAAGATAAACAGGGTAGAAGATGGTATCTATAGCTTTACACTTACTTCTTTGAACAAAATAATACTTAATTCTATGTTTTAGCACTAATCAAGGAAGCTTTCTCTGTACAAGAGTTCAAGCAAGAAAGTGTTCCATGAATTTGCTGAATGAAAAGCTGTGATGTATGTGGCTAATTTTATTTTTCTAAAACAAAATTAATTTATCTGAAAGCGTGAACCAGTGCCATAAATTCACGCACCTGAATACCAAAATGTCACTTTCTTCCCATTTTGTTTTCTCTTTACAGGCTGGTGGTTGTGGTGGGTTTTTTTTCCATAAATACCAGTATGTGAGATTAAGGTCTCAGAAAGAATTGTCTGCCCAGGTGTTATAATAACGTATATGCTTTTTTTTTTTTTTCTTCTTTCCTTTCTATGCTCCTAGTGTCTACCAAATAGTTGTTGAAGAGGAACGCCCTCGAAGAACGAAAAAGGCAACTGAGATCCTGAAGTGCTACCCAGTGCCCATTCATTTCCAGAATGCCTCACTTTTGAATTCCCGGTACTACATTGCTGCAGAGATTCCAGCCAATGGATTGCAAGCTGCTCAGCCTTTTACTATTGGTGATAACAAAACCTACAGTGGCTTCTGGAATACTCCTCTTCTTCCTCATAAGAGCTACAGCATCTATTTTCAAGCTGCTAGCAGAGCCAATGGGGTAAGTCTTATGACAGGTGTGGTTTTATGTACTGTGTGTAAATAGATAAGTGGCACCAACTACCAAGATGCCCAGTGTATTTGCTAATGAGAAAATGAAGTAACTGTGAAATTTAACACATGAATTTTAAAAATAACAGTTTTCCTGACACGGTGTAGCTTAATGATTAAAGGTTACAGAAAGAGCAGGAGAAAACAGCACTATTTTGCTATTTTGTCAATAGCAAGTAAACAAAGTAATGCATTGCCATTTTGTCATTATCTAAAAGCTGTCCAATGAGCCTAATTTATTGGCTTTTTGTCTTTTTTGTTTTTGTGTTTGTTTTCCTACTTCAAAGATAAAAGGAGTGCTGTGATTCCTTTTGTTAAATTTAAGCCAAACTTGATTGTGGCTTTTAGCACATCTGTCTTGGCCTGTCCAATCCCATTACCTTCGTTTATAACATGTTCAACTCCCACTTTCTCATTTGGTTGCTCTGGCTGAATTGGAAATAATCTTTATTCTTTTCCTTTCTGCAATCGGTAAAAGAAAAATAACTAGATGGAGCTGGAATGAGAGTGTGTAAAAAGGCCTTCACAGATCATGTTTCATCAGGCTAATTTTTCCTGGAATTGTTTTTCATTTCCTGGACAGACCTACCCAGAGCCCTTCAATTCTTGATAAGCTTTGGCTGTCTGTGCTGACAGCCTGGAAATGTTTTCTGCCAGAAACCATAATGGTCCCTCTTTCACATTGCACTGACAGTGCAGAAATGTGAAACGCCATAGATTATTTTTTCTTTCTAAAATTGTCCAGCATAATGCTTAGAGTTATACTTACCTGTAAGAAGAAGAAAAATCTCCCAAGGTCATTAAGTTACCAAAGTGAAAAAGCTGAACACTTGCCTGTGCTTTTCTGAATCGTGCGCCTGTTTTCTTTACTAACTGAACTGTTTATGTAACGTACCAAAGCGGTGTTTGTCCATACTATGAAAGCACATTGGAGTTCCTTCATAACAAGTTAAATATGTAACGAAGAACACTAACTAAACACTATTCCTGCATTGTATCAATACTTTTTAAGACTAGAAACATGGGTGGCTTTCTCTGCTTAGAAATACGAGATGTGACCTTTTTCCTCTTTATTTTACACAGGAAACCAAAATTGACTGCGTCAGGGTAGCCACAAAAGGTATGTTCATATTATGTGATGTATTCTGTAATTCGGACTGTTGACCTTTCCTTCACTTGGTCTTGCAGAAGTGTTTTATGTTGCTAAAAGACATTATTAAATCTGTCACAGAATTTTAAAGGATTCATTTGTGTCTCTAGCTGAGATTTAGGAAGTTTGTTTGTTTGTTTATTATTAATAATAAGTGTGCTACTAATTTCTAGTTGTTCACTTGAACAATTTCTCTTAAATATATTCTGGGGGTTTTTATATGATCTCTCAATGTTTTGGACATTTTTATATATAATAGATTTGTAAAATTGCCAATTGCAGAGTGCAAAGTAGCTCCATGTGTATTAGTGAAAAATCACCCCTTCCTCGTAAGCAATTATCTTTATTGCTTTAAAAAAGAAAAGTGGAGAAATTGTGTTCTTCATTTTCATGGTATGGAACAGCTCTATTTATTGAAATGTCAGCGCATCTTACTGACATTTGTGAGCAAGATGGTATGGTCGAGGCAGTCCTAGCTATGTGTTAATCCCCAAAGAGGAAAGGTAAACATATTGCCAATATATTTAACTTCGAAGGCTAGGATTTGTCTCTAATTATCTTTGTACTCTCATCTTTTTAGCACCTCTAGCTAATGCCAGCTTCAAGGCATGTAAAAGAGGTGCTGGGATAATATGGTTATGTGGAGATTGTAGTAGAGGAAAAGGAAAGGAAAGGAAAAGAACTGCTGCTAAAGAGGAACAGTTAATACTTCTTTGCAGTTTGAGCACCTGGTAAGAATTTGACAAAAAATTCCTCACTGTATCTCATAGTGGCCATTCTCAACATATCTGGCTTCAGCATGATTCCGTTTCCATACAGATGATATGGTTCCACCACCTCCAATACATCTAAGCAGTGATGGATTAGAATCTCATTACTGAAAAATAAATGAAATGTTAGCGCGATTGCCTCTTTCCTTATATGAGAAATACACTTTCAATATCTCTTCAAACTGTTTCCTTTTTTTCTTTTTTCCAAAAACAAAGAAAGAAGTTTTATTTCCAGTTTACTGACTGCTTACTATATCATAACAAACTTTCAAATATCTTCATTAAAGCCTAATAAAACATAAAATATATTAATATCAGGTTAAAATGAAATCCTGTGCTGTTTTCTGGAGTTTTGGTGTTGCCAGGAGCAGATTACATTGCCTCACAAATCATAATAGGTGATTAGGGGAATGGGTTTTAGATTATTTGAAGATTTGTAGTCCTAATCACTAATGGATGCTCAACTGTTTCAATTACTTGACTGACTGAAAAACCTTACTCTCTCATTTGAGAAGTGAGGGTGACTTCATGGATGGGAATAGCTTCCATAGCAACAAGGTAGCACATCTGACAGTAGGAAGATGAGAAATGCAGCTTTTATTTTAAACAAATCTCTGTACTTTTTTGATTTGAAAGCTGGTTTCAGAATTGTTCATAATACCTTTGTGCAGTCTGTAAAGTCATACAAGGGGTTATTGTGAGAACTTGGAAGTCAGAAGTGTCCTCAAAGGCGTTTATAGTCCCTGGAACAAAATTTTCCAGAGGGGCTTCTGAAAAGCACTGATCGCCGTGCTTACAAATCTAGAATCTCTATTATATATTCAAACTACATTATTTTTTGAAAACTAGAATGTAGACTATGACATATTGTAAAATGATATTAATTATACATATCTGTACAAATACTTTTTCCTGTTTAAATCCAGTAGAGGTAAGGAGAAAAGCAGACTTCTTATTTTCTGTATGTCAGAAGTCACCACACCTGCACTGAGACAAGACGGAGACTTGTCCTGTCCCATTCGCAGCCCTCATGTCTACATTTCCGCCATCACCACCACCTTTTTTGAGATCATATAAAAATCTCGATTCCAGCAATTGTGATTTAGGATCAGAATACTGGATTTTGTTCTCCTCCAGCTTCTGCTGAAGTCAGAGAGAACCTTTGCCACTGACTGTGCTTGGAGAAGGATCAGATAGCGTATTCTTGTGATGTAGAATCTTCTGTTCTTAGTTGTCTGTAGAGAAAGCCTTCTAGGTCCTCTGTGAGTATTTGGTGTATATACAAATGTGGAGACTGCAGGGTTTCCACTCCCATTACTTTTGACAAGATAATTAAACAAACAAACAAACAAAAATGGGGAAGAAATTTTCATACCAGTGGTAATAAAGGTTGTCGTATTTTGTTTGAAATATGGCTTTCATATATGTACTCTTTCTTCAAGCTAAGTTGTTGTGAAATCTCAGCAGACGAACTTGAAAACATTCCAGAACCCTTCCAAGTTTATTGCTATCAACTTTATGGTGTTTTGTGATTTATATTAAGACTGTATTTCCTGATATGACTTACAACTTTGTCTGGATAGAGACATCTTGGCTATCTCCTAGGATTCCAGTTCTCAAGAGGCAGACATTATTGTTCAAATTTTGTGATATTGGAAGGCTTTCATTAATTATGAGAGAGAAAAGGATATTATAATATTTTAAATCGAATAGCAACAGTACTCTAGCAGCTACTATCAACACTGTGTTTCAGTGTTGCAGAGGGATATTTCAAAATATTATGCAGCAGCAGTTTTGAGTTTAATTGTCTGCAGATGGTAGATGATCTATTTTCCTCACTCGTTGCCACATTTCTAATAGCACCCAGGCTGTTCTATGTAAATTAGTGATCTTTCATATAATTTTCTCCTTAATTTTCCAATATTTTTGCTTTGCATCATTCTCCAGCTGCATCATGTTGGATCTGACCTTTTAATTTTTTTTTTTATATTCCTTAATACATATGTATCATAGTGTGCTTAACCACTTAGAGGCAATCGTAATGGCAAATAAAGAAGTACAAGATCTTATTACTGTGAGCACGCTAATACTTATCTGTGACAGTCAGACTGTTACAGCTCTGACAAAAAAAATCAGGGTACTTGGAACACACAGACAATCGGAGTTCTTCAGCTTTTTCTTGTTGTAGTGGCAGAACATGAGGTGATGTAAAGCTTGGACCTCAGTCAGCTACAGACATACCTAACTCAGAGGTGATAACTGGCAGTGGTCCTTTGAACACTGCAAGTTAAGTGCAAGGGTAGTGTGTGCGTTTCCAGAGCAGAGACCTAAGTAGGCTCAATAAAAATGAATCTAAGGTAGCTCAAGAGCGTTTATGTGAAAATAATCTTAACAGGAAATATAGGAAAAATGTATTATAATAAAATGAGATAATAAAATGTGAAATGAGTACAAATTACATAGGGAAGCTAAGACCAGAGTAATCTAAATAGGCGGTAGCCTTTCACTTAGAAAGCCCAGTGCTGTGACCAGCAGCACCTAACAGTCTCCAGTTTCCTCAAACACATTTTATGTAAATAATGTGCTTTGAGTACTCTTCTGGAAAGTCATATACAAAAGCTCATTAATCCACAATAACCAAACTAACAACTGAAGATGAAAAGAAACTTGTGCTGTTGTTTTTTTGTTTTGTTTTGTTTTGTTTTTACCTTTTCTTTTTTGTTTATAAGAAGTTCAGACAATAAACTATTGACCAA